AAAAAAAGAAAGATGGAAGTAATATTTTATTAAATTTATCGGTGGTTAAATTTTTGGCAAGAGAAACTTGTTCTGCATAATACCTAAATAAAAGATTTTAAACGTGGGGTGCATGCCCCACCGGTGAAGCATGGTAATATTTTGGTGAGGCATGCGTAAGATGTGCTCCCTTCTTTCTGATCTAAAACAAATCGATTTTCCAACATGGGTGATCAAGCCAATGCTAGTGGATATTTCTGACTTTTCAATTCAGTACCAAGAAGAACTCTTGGAGATGCAGAATGATGAGTCTGTTAAAACTTTATTCAATATAAAAGATGTGGCATGGCTTTGTGATGAGGCTGTAACTAAATACCCAAATTCAAACACCGTTGCAAGAAATTTGTTGTTACTATTTCCATCTTCATATTCAGCTGAATGTGGCTTTAGTGTTCTAAATGATTTATTATTGAAGAAAAGAAATCAACTGGATATCATTAAACGAGGAAACTTGAGGCTTAAGCTAACTAAATCGGTGCCTAATACAAAATCTATCTGTAGCAGGCATGACTCATAAGGATCTCACTAACAGTCATTTCGTGATGAGCTCAAATTTTATTTTGCATTATTATTTCATAATTAAATTGATTAAAGTATATTACAGAATAAGCTTTCATTTAAATAATTAATATTTTTATATTTCTGCCTTTCAGTTATATATTTTGAAACGTTAGACATTTAACTGTGTGATGCTTGTTTAGAGACCAAGTTAATGGCCTATTAAGCTTCCTTCACGTGGATTTCAATAAGTAAGACTTCAATATTACAGGTGTCATCAGAATTTTAGAAATAACAAAGTGGTGCCTGGGCCAAAATCATTTGGGAACCCTTTGCCTAAATAGTCTGCTGTCTCAAACAGAGGATCATGAATATAATATATGTATTTATCGATTTTGGAGAATATGGGTCAGGATCCTGCTATGGGTTAAATAGCAGAGTAGATATGGATCTCTTATATTGGGTCGAACCTACTTTAAAAGATGAAAACTGTGAATTCCTGACAGTGGAAAACGGTAAAAAGAAACTATTCCAACACTTTTCTTAAGAATGTAAGGCCATATACATAATAAAGAAAAGTAATAAATGGCATTAAATTACGTAATACTTGATAATAGTGAACACTTAGATCGAATTTACTTTCAATATCTCGAGGAATTTCAGAGGAGATTTCAATATCTTGAGGAATTTCAGAAGAGATTTCATTATCTTGAGGAATTTCAGAAGAGATTTTAATATATTGAAGAATTTCAGAAGAGATTTCAATATCTTCAGGAATTTCAGAAGAGATTTCAGTATATTGAAGAATTTCAGAAGAGATTTCAATATCTTCAGGAATTTCAGAAAGATTTCAGTATCTTAAGGAATTTCAGAAGAGATTTCAGTATATTGAAGAATTTCAAAAGAGATTTCAGTATCTTGAGGAATTTCAGAAGAGTTTTCAATATCTTGAGGAATTTCAGAAGAGTTTTCAGTATCTTGAGGAATTTCAGAAGAGTTTTCAATATCTTGAAGAATTTCATAAAAGATTTCCAATAGTCATATTCTTAAATCTAGATATTTACTACTTGTTTTTTTTTTTTCAGACTTCAAGATTTTCAAACAAACATAACATAGAAGCAGGATTTCATGAAGGCTCATAAGATCATGAAACTGTTTTGGAGATGTTAAAGTTTATGGCCTTTAAAAGAGCATTGTTTGTAGTACAGATATTTCCTGGAAAATTCACCGGCGTGAAAATTATATAAAAGAATTTCCTAATTTAGATTCCTCGCTATGAATTTAGCGCAGTTATTTTGATTTCGTTTTTTTTTTTTTTTTTTTGGCATTACTTTTAATGTTTTAAGACATTCTTCATGGGTCGTGTATTTTTATCATAGTTTAAGTGTCTTTCTTGCAATTTCTTTTAATGTTTTATGATATTTTTCATGGGTCGTATATATTTTTTATCATACTTGTTCTCTTGTTTTGCTTGCCATTCCTTTTGATATTTTATGACATTTTTCATGCGTCGTGTATTTTTTATCATAATTTTCGTGTCTTACTTTCCATTCCTTTTAATGATGGTTACTATGAAAATTCATTGGGTGTGATTTCAATATGAAAATACATTGGATTTTTTTTACTATGAAAATTCATTGGGTGTGATTTTAATATGAAAATACATTGGATTTTTTTTTACTATAAAAATTCATTGGGTGTGATTTTAATATGAAAATACATTGGATTTTTTTTACTATGAAAATTTATTGGTGGTGATTTTACTAGGAAAATGCAGTGGAAATTATTTTACTATGAAAAGGCATTGGATGTGATTTACTCGAAAAATGCAGAAGTTATTTTACTATGGAAATTCATTGCAAATGATTTTAATATGAAAATTCATGGCAAATGATTTCACAATGAAAATGCATTGAAAGTGATTTCATAGTGAAAATTAATTAAAAGTAATTTTACTATCAAAATGCAGTGGAAATAATTTAGTTTTAATTTCGTTATTTTTAGCACATGTCAATCTTTGTTCAGTTATTTAATTTCAAATTTTATAAGGGTGCACTCAATGAGGATATTTTTGTATGGCAATAGAGAGAATATTTCTCTCATTAATACATAACTTTCTTGCCTAGTTACAGATAAAAGTCTGCTGAAATGGAATCTAACATGAAATGGCCTAAGAAACAGCAAAAGATAGAAAATAAAAAAAAAATTAAAAGTAAAGCCTTTCACGGTTTAATTTTTCTCCAATAATAAATAATTATACCGGCCCGTCTTTTTGAAATTTATAGATAATCATATATTTTATACATAATCATATATTTTACTAAACATGTTTAATTTCTGGACAAGTAAATTTGTGTTAAATCTTGCATAATTTAACACACAGGGAATTAAAACATCATATCAAAAGTAAATTTTAAAAACTAGCAGGATCAGTTTAACAACCGAAATAATGTCAAATAGTTTAATGCTGTCAGGTCTACTGACAATTGCTATCATATCAGGTCCGTCTTGACTTGCCAGTGACAGATTCATCTGAGTCAATCTCTTGTTCTCTCTCTCTCTCTCTTTCTCTCTCTCTTTCTCTCTCTCTTTCTCTCTCTCTCTCTCTCTCTCTGTTTCTGCAGGACCTTTACAATCATCGTTCTCCACAACGTCCTGTCTTTTCTTTCTCTCAGCACTTCCTACCACTTTACGATATCTCCTTATCTGTACTTGTGCACGGTGAAGTAAGGGATAGCAGCTCGGATAGGGGAATCGGAGAGCCGAGTTCGAATTTCAGTCGAAACCATTATACTCACTTATGTTAATACCCTTGGCAAAAGTATGAATCCTCTTCTTCTCCACCCCCTCTCAAGCTATGGGTAAATAGATATGGATGGCAACTGGCCTACCGCAGAAAGAAATGGCAACCTACTGCAGGAACAAATCTGCTTTGTCATTCATGTATCCAAAGATACATAATCACGCATGGCACATAACTGATTGACTGACATGTTCCTACATTTCTTTACGTGTTTCTTTTTCTCTACTTCGTTTGCTCTCGAGATGGCGTGTGAAATTTGAAGACGAATTGGAAAAGCGAATGATGTTTTTCAGGAACTGAAAGACATTACAGATTCGGCAAAAAACCAGTAGTTGTTCTAAAATAAAAAAAAATATATTGCGGAAGGAACGAAAAAACAATAACTATACGGCTTGGGAGTATCATGGTCGCCAACGCACGTAAAGACAATAACCTGTGTAAACATGCACACACACACACACATATATATATATAATTATTTAATGAGATATGTCTTAGTGATAACTTGCTGTCAAAATATACACAATACATATACCATTGTACAAATTAATTCAAACAAAACAAAAACTCGAATTAGTTATTATTTACATTTTTCGTATTTTTCCAATGAAACATGACCCAGAGCACATGTTAGTTCTTTGTATGTCCATTCCACAAAGTCGTTCCTTGCAGATTGACCAAAGATTCTCGATTGGATTTAAGTCAGGAGAGTTTCCGGTTCAGTCTATAGTACTTTGATTTACTCACTGGTAAGGCTTGCAAGTCTGTTCGTGAAAGGTTACAATTTTCGTATGCTTCCTTGGAGTAACGTCCATCGCAGACTGGCCGTAGGACAACTAATCGATACAGGAAACAGTAATGTCTGTGAGTGATGAAACATGACCCAATGCACATGTTAGTACTTTGTATGTCCATTCCACGAAGTCGTTCCTTGCAGATTGACAAAAGATTCTCGATTAAATTTAAATCAGGAGGGTTTACGGGCCAGTCTATAGTACTTTGATTTACTCACTAGTAATGCTTACCAGTGTCTTCGTACAGCGCTACAATTTTCGTAAGCTTCCTTGGAGTAACGTCCATCGCAGACAATGGCCGTAAGACAACTAATCGACAGTGGAGACAGTAATGTTTTGGAGTGATAAAACATGACCCAGTGCATATGTTATTTCTTCGTATGTTCATTCCATGAAGTCGTTCCTTGCATATTGACCATAGATTCTCGATTAGATTTAAATCATGAGAGTTTCCGGGCCAGTACTTGATTTACTCACTGGTAACGCTTGCCAGTGTGTTCATGCAGCACTACAATTTTCGTATGCTTCCTTGGATTAACGTCTGCTATGGACTCGTAAGTGTTTATTAAGGACACCTTCACTTTTAAAATCTCGCTTACACACATGGCACATTTTCTGTTGGAATGCTCTATACTCTGCCCAACTTTTGGAATGCGTCCTTGGTCATCGTCTACGGATCTCAATGTCACACTTGCCGTCCTCTGTCAAGAATCTTCCCAGATATTTAAACTTCCGCGTCTGCTTGATTGTAGCGTTTTCAACCTTCACATCGCATTTCGAGCTCATCCTCTTACTGATGAACATCGATATACGAAAATGCCATGGATGGGACATATAAGACACGAGGAAATTTTAAATGTACACTGCTAAGGAATGTTGAGTAGAGCAAAAAATCGTGAAACCGACCCAACAAAATTGTGAAAATCGATGACATAACAGAGGTTGAGAAGGAGAGTAAGATAAATGAGAAGGAGAGTAAGATAAATGAGAAGGAGAGTAAGATAAATGAGTGGGAGAGTAAGATAAATGAAAAGGAGAGTAAGATAAATGAGAAGGAGAGTAAGATAAATGAAAAGGAGAGTAAGATAAATGAGAAGGAGAGTAAGATAAATGAGGGGAGAGAAGATAAATGAAAAAGAGTGAAAAGAGAAGGAGAGTAAGATAAATGAGAGGGGAGAGTAAGATAAATGAGAGGGAGAGTAAGATAAATGAAAAGGAGAGTAAGATAAATGAGAAGGAGAGTAAGATAAATGAAAAGGAGAGTAAGATAAATGAGAAGGAGAGTAAGATAAATGAAAAGGAGAGTAAGATAAATGAGAAGGAGAGTAAGATAAATGAAAAGGAGAGTAAGATAAATGAAAAGGAGAGTAAGATAAATGAGAAGGAGAGTAAGATAAATGAGAGGGAGAGTAAGATAAATAAGCATTGCTAAGAGATTCAAAGGAGAGAAAAGATGACAAACTATGATCCTCCACGTCCTGATGGGA